TATGTTTACAGTGTTTGGACAAATCAGGTTTCTCATATATCTATCCAAGGTGACGTTTCTTTTGCGGTTCAGTATATATTATACATCTAAGCCATATTTGACTTATTGTCTGATGATGTGCATTGTTTGTTTGTTTGTTTGTTGCACTCAGCAATATTCCAGCTATATGACGGCGGTCTGTAAATAATCGAGTATGGACCAGATAATCCATTGATTGACATCATGAGCATCGATCTACGCAACTGTGATACGATGACATGCATCAACCATGTCAACGAGCCTGACCACCCGATCCCGTTAGTTGCCTCTTACGACAAGCATAGTCGCCTCTTACGGCAAGCATGGATTGCTGAAGACTTATTCTAACCCGAATCTTCACGGGTACTGTTGATATGCACTTTACTTAAACAAATTTGAATTTCAAACATGTTAAAGCTTTAAACATCTTTAAATTATAACTTGTTTAAACTTGTTTAAATTTAAACATGTTCAAACTGTAAACATGTTTAAACGTGTTTAAATTCTAAACATGTTAACTTGTTCAATTTCTAAACATGATTAGGTTATAGGGATGTTGTGTTTAGGTGTTGTTTAGACTGTGAGCTAATTTCATGTGTTTAGACAGAACACACCAAATGCGTATTCCGTTTAAGAAGATTTAAACACATTCCTAGATATGTTTAGATCTAAACATGTCTTGTATGTGTTTACACTTTTAAACATATTTTACAGTGGGTCTGTTGAAAATAAGCACGGAATTTAAACCTGCTGCTTGATTGTTTAGAAAGTGATTTGTCGTCCAAAACTGGGTGAAAATACAGTCAGATATTATGAGTGCATCTGAAATTCCTCATAATTGCAGCCGGTCTGTCTGTTATTGGAGAAGAAAGTGATTTATCATCCAAAACTGAGTGAGATGACACCCCCCCCCCCCCCCCCCCCCCCCCCCCCCCCCCCCCCCCCCCACCCCCCCCCCCCCGCCAAATCAATAACCGAGCACGTGAAAGTCATGCGAACTTTAACGGCTTCGACAACCTTTAGAATTAAGCATGAAACGCACAAAATAGAGCTTCCCCAGAACTTAAGGCACTTTATCATGAAATGACCTCATTTATGAAGTGTGCATTGATAAATTCAAATGGCTATCAGTCATTTCGTGCAAAATTACGTAATCACCGAGGGCTCGCTGGGAAGTGTTAAAAAGAATGACACAAAATTGACAATACTCCATGTGTAAATATACTTCCTCACATCTTTTAGAGAGTCAAACGAGTGAAAGTTTCAAGAATCCAGATCTCGAATGATAATCGTTTGGAAGAAGTCAAATATGAAACCGAAACATTGAACAAGTAAATAAAAGGGTTAAAAGAAAACAAGGCTGTCGGATTAGACATCCTGGAAAACAGTTATCCGATCGATTCTATTGAAATACAAAATCCACTTCTATCTCACCTAGTTAAATCATGTCTCTTATCCGATAGTTGTCTAACATGATATATTATACGCCAATTACACAGGACACGTTAACCCCTAGATTCCAACTGCTGTGTCTCACGTTGAGTTCGATTAAGATTTTTAACTTTGTAGCTAGCGTCCCTTCGCCGTGCCAGCAGAGTCCCTCCAATTCTTTTATATCGTCAAGTATAAGAGGATAGGGCCTTTTAAAGGATCTTATTTCACGTGTATTTACAAATGTTCCACAATACACATTCCATTTTATTATGTACAATATATACATATTCACTATTTTCAACCATAAGGCCAACACACATGTACAAGCCAGATAGATTCGAAACTGTATCAGTATATTCATAAATTGTTTTAGTTCGGCTTTGCAGTTGGTTTGTCTGTGTCTGTAGCCTCAGTTACAGTTGGCGATATTAAGATTTCTTTGGGCGTTGCTTGTCGTTGGGGTGTAGCTAAGTAAGTGTTTAAGGAAGTTGATGAGTTTGAAGATCTTGGGGTGGAGCGATGCTCATGTTGAGGTTATCGTCGAGTGCCATCCCTCGACGCCGTTGGTGGTACCTCAATGGTCCACATTGTTCTGGCGTGGTTGCCTCCTACCCAGTTCTCATTCACATAGTCTGCAGATTGCACCACCCTGGGATCATGCAGCGTCTACTGGGGCGCCTGTTCTCCACCTGACTGATCAGTGTTGGTTTTGAGAATGTTGGCACCCTGGAGGTGAACCATGCCAGCAACGTGTTCCTTGTCTTACATTCCAGTTATCATTGCTGTCATGGCCTGCAAGTGACCGTTACACGAATCTTGAACACGTCCCCTTTAACAACAAATATATATTTCTGTGTATGTCTGTGACAATGCCATTATAGTGAATTGGGGCAAGGTTTACGACTGGCTGACTATTCCCTAGATGAATTTACGTTTATGTATTTCAACTGGTTCGCGATTGCAGACCAACGGAAACGCACATCCCTACATTCTTACTATACGATACATATTGTGCAGATCTGGAGGTTCAATTGGTCTTCAGCAACCCATGCTTGGTGTTAAAGGCGATTGTGCTTGTCGTAAGATCGAGTGTTCAGGCTCACTGACTTGGTTGATGCATGTCATCATATCCCATTTGCGTAGATAGATGCTCATGTGTGACGCAACCCGTGAAGATTCCGGGGTAGAATAGGTCTTCAGCAACCCATGCTTGCCGTAAAAGGCGACTATGCTTGTCGTAAAATGCGACTAACGGAATCGGGGGGTCAGGCTCGCTGACTTGGTTGATGCATGTCATCGATCCCAATTGCGTGTATCGATGCTCATGATATTAATCACTGGTTTGTCTGGTCCAGACTTGATTATTTACAGACCGCCGTCATATAGCTGGAATATTGCTGAATGCGGCGTTATACAACAAACCAACCAACCACCCAACCAATTATGTTTCTATGTCTGTCAGCAACATACCCGTCGGTCTTTCCTTCCACAGTATGTGTGCAGATTCGGTGTGTGACAAGGACTGATCCCTCCCTTGTTCTCTGTGTTCATTAACAATCTGGAGCCTGGTGTATTTAAGAAATAAATGACGAATGGTCATTGTTTGTCGTAAAATAAAACATTGCAGGGAGAATAAACCATGAGGGGCGCAGCAGTGTTATATTATACGAAAAACAAAGACAACGAGTCGTGTATTTCTTGTATGAGATATGAACAATATTTTACAGCCTCTTTAAGGATGTTAATAAAAAGTACAAGCTTTAAAAATATTTACCCAAATTTAAATCACGGTGACTCCTGGAATACAAGCCGACGTCGGCAATGTTGGACAGGTCCATGTATCAGGTGGGTTAGGTCTGGTATTTCCCGGGTATTCTCACAATTTTCACGTCGATCATCTGTACCTTTTCACCCAAAACCTATGATCATATCTCTCCCACTATTGGATGCGATCGTTCGGACATTGCGTTTATTTAAGATGCCCAGCTACATCCATGGGGAACAACTCACTAGACACGTCCAATCTACAACGTTATCAACTTGCGAGCGCATGTTCGAATCTCGAGAAATGACGTCATGATAGAACAATATTCTATCGTGAAACTTCCCACGCTACGTTCTTCATGGTTCTTTGCGATTTATCCCGTAGCTATCTTATATTGGAGAAGATAGTAATGGTATAAAACTAGAATGATCTTGTAGTTTTTAGTCGTAGTTTATGCCGATGACACTGCCACATTCAGTAAGAGACCTTATGATCTCCTGAAAACAGTAGATGCATTCTACGAGTTTTGTTCACTCTGGAAATTAAAAGTTAACTTACCAAAAGCGAAGACCAATCTTTAGAGGAAGATCATAAAAGAACTCATAATTTCCGTTTACTTATGGCGGTAAACGTCTTGAAACCGTCGACACATGTGCCTGTCTTAGAACAAAGCTTCATAAACTACCGGGTGTAAGAAAGTATAAATTAATGTTTGATGATGGCTAAAAATGAAACAAACAAGAAATGTTTTTTCGATGGTGATGTATTTGATACCGGTATGATAGTTGTGTTTTGGACCTAACGTTTGCAGTGTTTCAGCGACTGTTTTCAGCCTAGTTGCGTTTTGACGTGTGTAATTTGTTTTGTAAAATCCAATTTTCAAGTGTATACATTCTTTTTCCCAGGCAGTTTAGATTAGTTATGGAAACTAAAATGCTAACAAATGCAGTGTTATGTTTATAAAAAATATACAAAAATATAATCTACCACTTGATTGTCTTTATCAGCGTTTGAATCCACGCTTGCTTCATAGTGCTGAAAAATTGATTGCAATAAACTTTCCCAAATATTTTATATCTATATAAGTATCGATAACCCTGATATAAAAAAATATCCATGGATATTTTATATTTGCAATGCATTAAATAACCGTTATCAAATATTTGTGGAATATATTTGTTCAGCGGTTTTATGTGTCATGTCTAAGTTTTCCAAACAAAAGATGTTAATACACACTGTACATCCAATAACTTGTATTATGACCTTGCTGCACGGCCATCTCCTGACTTTTTCTAAATGTACTTTATCTTGTACCTCCGTGATGGTGTTTTCGAGTGAGTGAGTGAGTGAGTGAGTGGGTGGGTGGATGAGTGAGTGAGTGGGTGGGTGGGCGGGGGAGTGAGTGAGTGAGTGAGGTCTTACGCCGCGTAAGCATTTTACCAGAAATCCACGGCGGGAGACCCCAGAAGTGGTTTTCATACACTGTACCCATGTGGGGAATCAAACCCAAGTCTTCGGCGCGACAAGCGAACGTTATAACCACTAGGCTACCCCACGGACCCTTTTTTGAGTAGAGACAGATTACGATGATATGAACACGTCACGCGCCATCGGTTTCGGATGATATCCAAACAGTCAAGACATTTAGTCGCCTCTTCAGACAAGCATTGATCTCCGGGGACAACGATAACTAGGAATCCCCATTAGAGAAGTGCATTTGTTTTAGAATATCTTCATGCACAATAGAACAACGCTAAATCTCAAATACAATTAACAAATTAACTCTATCTAATTTTTTTTATTAAAAGAATTATATACATCATTTCAACGAAAAGATATGTAACAGACAATGCAACGATGAAAAAACATAGCTCTTGCCTAAACGATGGTGGGCGTGACAGTGTAAAATAGCCTACTGTACAGAAGCTCTTCATTCTAGTCCTTAATATCACATCATATCCTTATGGTCACGTAGTCTACTGGCTGTAGGTTCACTTCACACAATCTATGTCAAAAGAGTAAATATAAAATATAGCTATCTTATAATGTATGTACAACTAACAAAAAACAATAGGGAGAGCTCAGCTACAAAGCACTTAATCATGAGTATTGGAATGGTCGTGAGCCTTTTTTACCTGCGTGTTTTTAGATATGTTCAGCACCACTGTAGTGTGACACTGTAAGTAATGTATGTACGTAATAAGCGGCGATATTTGCTAATTAATATATTGGCAAGTGAACAACCTTAATAAGCACCCCTTCCGATTGATCAAAGTACACAAGACTTAAATGTTTTCGTGTATAATACGCACTCGTATGTTATATGCACCCTTAATTATGGGCAATTAAATTCTGGAAAAATATTTCTGTCGTATATAAACATTTCAGGCTGTCAGCATAAACAACGAAATTAACGATCTTTCAACTCTGTGTTTTTCACCAAAATAATATTCTAATAAGAGCCCCCTATTTCTAATTTTGAGATCGCCCTTGGCGCTTATTGTGTACAATACGGTATTTTAAAAGTGTCTTCAGATGTAGTTCACCAGATCGACGACTCTTCCCGCAGGATGGCAGTTGTAGAGGGCAAGCTGAAATGGACGAAGAATTATGGTTAGAATCAGCGCGTTTCACACAATTTTAAAACATATTTTAATTATGTTACCGCTAGACTAACGCTTAGTCTCTGAAATTATATAATATTGATGGAAACAAACATCTATATTTAAATTGAAAAGGAGACCCAGTAAGACGGAGATTCAAACTGAACCTGTGGGAAATCTAGGCTTCATTTAGGTCTTTTCCATTGCATTAAAGAGTTGACGGAAAAATAATACGATTTAGGGACTATGAGATAGGCTATGTCACCTCACACATGATATCATGGGCGAAAAGCCGAACGTGTGGAGGATGTGAAAAGGGAAGTAACTCCTGGTCAAAGTGTTACCTCCCTTCTCACGTCGCTCAACCTCGGAGTTTCAAACATGAAATAAGCAACTCTTTGACCAAGAGTTACGTCCCTTTTACATCGATCTACCTTGGAGATTTAAGTATGAAATGGATTACAAATTAGTTGGGCCGAAATGAAAGCGTTCCGCCAAATAGTTCACTTACATCGTCAAAGGATCCGTAGAATGGAAAAGCAGCGCTGGATGCAACCCTGATGCTGTTCATCAACCGGTAGCTTGGAGCTGAGGAACAACGATAGGATGAGGACATGAGTGACGTTACTACGCCTGTATAAACATGGTTGACTTATATTATAGGTAAAATGAATAGAATTATCATTAAACCGCCAGCATGTTATCAGAAATCAGCGGGCCACTGTAACTTGATAATGCCCTCGTATTGCTTGACGACGGGCCATTATCACGCCCGTTGTTAGGTGATAGGGATAAGGTTGTTAGGGATAGGTGACATCACGTTGAATAGTGACGTCATCTGGTTTGTTCTATGACGTTTCAATACTTGTGAACGTAGGTCAGTGACATTCGTGTTGATTGCAGTAAATGTTGCAAAACCGATATTGTTGTTTCTTTTTATTTGATAACAAATGCAATCCATTTTAGCTATTATAACGGTAACGCTATTTTTCAGGGCATTATCATTTGCAGAAGCCCTCGGCCTTTTCATCTGCCCTCCAGGCAGTTAATGGGAGACCTCGGGATTCTTCAAATGATAATACGCTGAAAAATAGCGTTACCCTTATATCACCACGTGTGAGCTTGTCAGCTTTGTGGGAGCAAATCTTCAAGTTCTTATATGTTTGTCATGTTTAAATGGAAGAAAATATACATTGGTGTATTGTATTGCATGTATTCTGACATGTTTCATAACGACGGAGAAGACATAAAAATCAAGTGAAAAAATCGTACTGGTTCCATTACTATGCTTAAAATAATACTGACCCACTTGAGTTACTTGAATGAGTGAGGATAGTTTTACGCCGTTTTTAGCAATATTCCTGCAATATCAGGCGGGGGACTGCAGAAAATGGGTTTTACACATTATACCCATGTGGGGAAACGAACCCGAATCTTCGGCGTGACGAGCGAACGCTTTAACCACTAGGCTACCAACAGACCCTGGCTCAGGAAAGATGTTTTCATAACAGAAAAAGGGGACGTTTGGACGAAGATTAACCAGAATCTAAGCTTTCAACTTGCGAACGTTTAGAAAAAAGTGCTGATTCAAGAAATTAGATCCACTTGTATTTGGTAATACATGTTCTGATGATGTCTGAGGTACAAGGTACCTGAGCGAATGCATGTTGTCTAATGCCGCACGCAGCGGGCGTAACGTATGTTGTCTTACCGCTGACTCTGTTGATGTGGACCATAGATCCAGATCGGGCAACAGCGACGATCTCCCTGCCTGTGTACATCACTGCCACGTCAATGAAGTCGGTGAATCGCTGGAAAAATTGAAAATCACAAGAAAAATAATTAAACAACCACGTTGTCAAAAAGCCAACCGCCGTCATATAGCTGAACTATTGCCGATCGCGACGTTACATAACAAACAAGCAAACCAACCAACCAACAAACTAACATAAAGCCACACGTTAAATTTTTATAACGTATATTCATTCGGTTAGTGGGTATAAGGATTATTACGTTTGCCAGTTCATAAAACAGCTCAAATATTGCCTTATTGTTGTATTTGTTCATGTACAGTGTTCGTATGACCTTTGCAGAGTTTCGTCTCTTGGGCATGACGAAACCTTTGATTGTGGGTTCGAATCCCGGTTTACGCTTATTATGTTTCTAGGTTTGTCAGCACCATACCCGTGCTCGTGGGTTTCACCGAAGTGGTAAACGTCTGAGACCTGCATAGCGTCGGGCTTTCCTCCCACATTTAGACTGACAAGCCGTGATATAACTGGAAAACTGTTCAAAGCGGTGTTCAACCCAACTCACAACTAACCCTTGTCATTGGCGCTTTTATTCAATGGCTATGCCAGTAGGGGTAGATCTGAATATTACAATGTAACGTAGAATGTACAAGGGAGGCTACTCTTCTGATACGCCACCAGTCAGACCAAATTGACCAATGTCTTCATAAATCGTCGAATACAGTTTTTTGGGCAGCTTGTTTGCATGGAGACATCCTTCAATATAACAAAGATTCGCCAGAACGTTTAACATTCAGGATAAAGTTTCCATCAACATTTTCAAACCTGACGCACGTTTCTCGCTGAATATTATTATATTATTATATATATTATTATCTAAGCATATTTTCAGGACGCTTCATTAATATGTGTTTGTGTCAGAAAACTTTATGTTACACAGTAAAAACCTTATACTTCTCTATCATTTAAAGAATACACCAACCCCCAAAACCCACCCCACACAGCCAACAACTCAATATGTAACTCTAACAACAAAATACTTCACAACCAACAACTCAATATGTCACCCCAACAACAAAATACTTCACAACCAACATCTCAATATGTCACTCCAACAACAAAATCCTTCACAACCAACAACTCAATATGTCACTCCAACAACACAATACTTCACAACCAACAACCCAATATGTCACTCCAAAAACAGAATACTTCACAACCAACAACTCAATATGTCACTCCATACAAAATACTTCACAACCAACAACTCAATATGTCACTCCAACAACAAAATACTTCACAACCAACAACTCAATATGTCACTCCAACAACAAAATACTTCACCACCAACAACTCAATATGTCACTCCAACAACAAAATACTTCACAACCAACAACTCAATATGACACTCCAACAACACAATACTTCACAACCAACAACTCGATATGTCACTCCAACAACAAAATACTTCACAACCAACAACTCAATATGACACTCCAACACAATACTTCACAACCAACAACTCAATAATTATACCCAAGAACTCAGTATCTCTCCCCAAATAGCAGAATGAGCTGGACATCAAAACCCGATATACCTATCCTACTAACTCGGTACGTTACAGCCACTGAATCAGTACCCCATCACTTACTAGATACATCAAAGAGGCTCAACCAAGACCTTACACCGACCAACACAATACGATGCTCGTGATGTCAATCACTGGATTGTCTCGCCCAGACTTGACTATTTACAAACCACCGTCATATCTCTGGAATATTGCTGAGCTCGGCGTTAAACAACAAAGAAAGAAAGATTGAAACTTACATAGAAAGACAATAACTTAATCTCACTAACCCAATAACTCATTCCCAGTAGACCGCCTCCATGGTCTAGTGGTAGAGCGTCCGCCCCGAGAGCGGAAGTTCCGGGGTTCGATCCCCGACCGCGTCATACCAAAAGACGTTAAAAGATGGTACTTGTTGTTACCCTGTCTGGCGCTCGGCATTAAGGGGCTAAAACAAGGACTGTTCGGCTCGGAGCCAGTACACTGTGTCTGAGTGGGGTATTCATGTTAAACTGCGGCATGGTATCTCAGTTGACTTGCACTACAGTCCAGACTAGTACAAGCAGCCACACACACACACGTTCAAGTGCAACAATCTTGGAGGCCACGTTAAACCCTGTTTCACTATTTCACCTCACCTCAGTCCCAATAACCCCTCGTTCCGACTTACCCGTGTAGAAAGAACTAGAGAGGCTTGTGTGTTCCCGAGGTGGGTGAGAGCAATTTCAATTAACTCATCCTTGAGGTCTATTGTCATGGCGTTGCATTGGATGTTGTCCTGGATTTGGAACAGGTTACGTTGCGTACCGTTCCTGAACGCCTCATTGTAGCGGAATTTGAGGAACATAGGACGCTCTAGTGTTGGAGTCGTCATCACGTTGTTGATGACGTAGCTGCTGCCATTTCTGAACTGCGCGGTGCCTTGTCTGATATCAACATTGCTGGAAACTGCACGTCTAAAATCGTCGGTAGCATTAAACGAAAAATTGATCCTGAATTCGGCAGTGCAATCTGCAACAATACAATGGAGAGTGTTTAGGAAATTGTTGAGAAATCATGTTTAAATGTTTCGTTCGTTTGTTCAGACAATCCGCCGTTTGCAATCTGATTAAACCCATGCTTGAGGTAAAAGGCGACTATTCTTGTCGAAAGAGGCGTCTAACAGCATCGGGTGGTCAGGCTCGCTGACGTGGTTGATGCATGACATCGTATTCCAACTGCGTAGATCTATGCTCATGATATCAAGCACTGGATTGTCTGGTCCAGACTCGATTATTAACAGATCGATGACGTTACCTCCCCATGGAATAAGCACGGTAGACTATTCCGGGTCTCCCTTTTACTATTGAGACAAATTTGCCAACACATTTTATGAATTTTAGGGTTTCGTTAAGATACTGAAGAACTAACAACATGAAGGGAATTATAAAACACATTTATCAAAACTGAATTGTAGACAAAATTAGAATTGCTATACAATTACCCCTAAACCTCCATGTCCCCACAGACGTTTCACAGAACTATTACAAATGGTCCACGGCATGGCCTTGACATCAATGACACTTTAATGATTGTTCTACGGTACTTAAACAAACATCGGACGGGCACAAAATAAATTATTGCATCTCAATTTATTGTTGTGTATCAACTAATACCAATGTGCACTTCGCTGTCTGCATCACCCCTACCTTGACGCACAGGCTTGTTGCAGCCGCACTCAAGAACATCGAAGACGTTCCCCAAAGGACATTTGCGTTCGTATCTGTTCCATGTTCCCCTTTCCAACTCGTAGTGGAAGTAGTACTCGGATCTGGTCCAATCAGGCACAGCGCGGCATATTTCTGTGTAGTCACGAGGTTATGTTAATTACAAATGAACAGTACATGTAAGGCCACCTTTTAAAATTTTTGTTCACGAATCCGCCGATTGACACCCGACTGAAATGTGAAATCGTTTTGAAAAGCAGCTTTCTTTTAATTCCACCGAAGACATGTAAAACGCAATAAAACAATCTGTTACTGTCGCTATCAATATAAATAAACTAATTCAATTATAATAATTAAAACGTTGAAGTTTTTTCTTTTCTTCGTCGTCCTCCCGCCCACAATTTTTCCCAAAGGTACATTTTGAGGAAATCCGAAATATAATATATTTCAAATTATTTTTCGTCCAGCCAAACCCCACCTACAGCAGCCGGGCTGTTAGTAATTGTATTGTGCAGGTGTGTAGCTTTCCTGGCGAACAAATGATGCCAATTAGAACATACTTTATTACTCAGTTTTGTCATTCAAAATGTACCAAAGTGTTAATCAGAATATAGATTAATTAATCATGGCAACGCTTCTAATGAAATACCAGTTGAAATATTCACAAACGCTCGTTGAGCCTCATGGAACTGACCATTGAGTCCACACGTCCCAGGACACGGGTCAAGGCATGTCAGATCCCCAATACAGCCTTGCTCTGGGACGTAACGAAACCCAGGACTGCAGCACTCGGCGGTGCTCCGAAACGCGTTGCAGGTCCAGTGCGCGCGGCAACTGCTTCCCTCCATCTTGAAGTGCCTGGCATTGACGGTGCTGCATTTCTCTGTAACAATACACAGTAAGCATTTAACCTTGACTGTTTGTTTGGTGTTTAACGCCGCACTCAGCAATATTCCAACTATATGACGGCGGTCTGTAAATAATCGAGTCTGGACCAGACAATCGAGTGAGTGACATCATGAGCATCGATCCACGCAAATGGGATAGAAATGACATGTATCAACCAAGTAAGCGAGCCTGACCACCCGATCCCGTTAGTCGCCTCTTATGACAAGCATAGTCGCCTTTTACGGCAAGCATGGGTTGCCGAAGACCTATTCCACCCCGGATATTCACGGGTCTTAACTGTGGGTTGGGTTTAACGCTGACGTGAACAGCATTCAAGTTTCTGTCAAGGCCTGTCACAATAATGTAGGAGGAAAGTGATGTATAAGTCAACCGTGGTGAATTCCCCTTTGAGCACACACACACACACACACACACACACACACACACACACACACACACACACACACACACACACACACACACACACACACACACACACACACACACACACACACACACCGTGACCGATTACCTAATACAAACAAATGTACATAAATAGATAAACCTATAACACATCAGGTAACATTAGGCCCTCCATTTTTTATGTGTTTCTCATCTCCAACCTCAAACAGAAAGAGAGCGGGTGAAAAAAGATATTTGTTTTTACCCCACCCGCCACCACCCCCGTTACCTATTCTATGACATTTTAAAGTTTAGAACACTTGCTACCAGTCTTATATAAGTGTATGACGTAGACCGAGTTGCTTTGTTTTAAAACGAATTTTAATACATATAGCTGAAGAAAGATCAAGCAGACGTGTTTTTCACATCATCGCATAAATTTCACTGCGGGGGAAACATTGAGATTTGTTTTATTATTTCTCGTCGAAATGAACTCAGATATTAAATGTGACCTATCGTATGATTATTGTTACCTTTCCATAATCGACATCGAATTTAAGACACCGCGATACGTCTTTGCGAGGCCAAGGGAGGTAATACAACTACCACAACAGTGATCTAACAACGACAGGTTAGGGCATCGGATATCGACTTGCCGAAGTCTTTCAATAAATGATCCCCTTGTCTGCATTTCCCACAAACACTGCAACCTACACTTATCCAGAGGACAATTGATGTGTCTATGCTGTCTGCAGTTTATGAGGGTCTTTGTTCTACTATACCTACACAGATCCACCTACACCTCCCAAAGAACAGGTCCTGTACTATACTATACCCACAGACCCCACCTACACCTCCCAAAGAACAAGTCCTTTACTCTACTGTACCCACACAGACCCACCTACACCTCCCAGAGAACAGGTCCTGTACTCTACTATACCCACACAGACCCCATCTACACCTCCCAGAGAACAGGTCCTGTACTCTACTATACCCACAGACCCCACCTACACCTCCCAGAGAACAAGTCCTGTACTCTACTATACCCACAGACCCACCTACACCTCCCAGAGAACAAGTCCTGTACTCTACTATACCCACAGACCCCACCTACACCTCCCAGAGAACAAGTCCTGTACTCTACTATACCCACGCAGACCCCACCTACACCTCCCAGAGAACAAGTCCTGTACTCTACTATACCCACACAGACCCCATCTACACCTCCCAGAGAACAGGTCCTGTACTCTACTATACCCACACAGACCCCATCTACACCTCCCAGAGAACAGGTCCTGTACTCTACTATACCCACGCAGACCCCACCTACACCTCCCAGAGAACAAGCCATGTACTCTACTATACCCACGCAGACCCACCTACACCAACCAGAGAACAAGTCCTGTACTCTACTATACCCACGCAGACCCCACCTACACCTCCCAGAGAACACGTCCTGTACTCTCCTCTACCCACACAGACCCACCTACACCACCCAGAGAACAAGCCATGTACTCTACTCTACCCCCCAGACCTGACTTCCACTTACCAATAGGACAAGTGATTTGTCTGTTCGGTCTACACTCCTTGAGGTCCTGGTTCCAGTAGTAACCGTGTTGACAAGTCCTGTACACGACTATAGTACCGGCCCCCTCAGAAACAGGGCGATTATGACACTGTAGGTAGTGTCCACATTCACTGGTGCTGTATCTGTACCCGATGTTCGCCACCAGGGGAGCCTCTTGACATAGAGCTAGCTGACCTGTTAACATAACGTAGGCATTTCTTCAATAAGCATCGGTAACATAGTCGTATATACACCGACCCTGAATTGTACACATGCCTGTCCTTTGTTAATATTTTCAGTATTGGAACAAATGAAGGTTGAGCAAAGTAGTAGGGGAGGTAACTCTTTGACCTGTCATTACAAATCGCATTTGTCGTTTATTTTATATTTTATTCATTCCACCCAACCGACAGCAATTCAAGTGAAACTTGAATATTGAAGGACATGCTATATGTTCCTCGGAAATGCTTTGTCTCGATTACAAATTTCCTTCCGAGTACAAAAAGTTAAGATATGATGTTTAAAACATAGCAAGGCAACCCCTTTAGTAGAAAGGTATATTACCGTGTACACTGTCGAGGACCGCTGCCAAACACAGCACGAGTAGTGTCGACCACATCATCACTGAAAAGATGAACATTGATGATGAATCTTGAAAACTAAAATCAGATATTAATTCTAACAGATGCATTTGTTTCACTAAAATCATGAAGGTATATACAATACTCAAAAGTAGTTAACGAAATCCCGATTCTTTCATATTGTCATTACTATAGTCAATCTGTAAAGAACACCCTATTCTTTCATGACATAACAGATACATGTACACTATAGTAATACGAAAGAATCGGGTGTTCTTTAACTTATTTTGAGTAGTATATTACCTCTACTCTTCTGTCAGTACATGTTCACTGAATCCCACCTAGTTGGACACCGCTCTCTGAACAATCAGTTTATATTACGGCCATTGTTTAACCGGACCCTTACTTGTCATGATTAAGTCCAGCGCATCTATATAAATATTTCTTTTTTTTGGTGATTGTGAATCCTATGTCCAGGTATCTACAAATATACATGACACTTACTTCACATAAATAGAGTAGCATTCCAATTTGTATTTTAATAATATAGCATATTAAACTATTGGAGACGTTTTAGTGTATACTATATAAAAGTGAAGAGAAGCACATGCTATATAACACGTAATTTACATAAATAAAGTTGCCATCCAATTGTATTTTAATAATACAGCATATTAACATTTTGGAGACGTTTTAGTGTATACTCTACAAAAGTGAAGAGAAGCACAATGCTATTTGCACACGTACTTCATATAAACAGAGTAGCAAATATAATGTATCAGTGACTCGAAGAAACGACTCATGTCAATAATAAGAAATACACAACTACCTCACAATTAACTTGGAATCATCTCAATATATAGAAAGTATGCAAAGTGTATACAGTGAAACCCTGATAATCCGGACACTGCCTGGTTTCAGGGGAAAGTTGATAAGATCGTCTACTTGCTCAGCAAGGACAGTACAGAAAATGACTTGATAATAATGTTTCCACTGGGACTAAAACCGGCCGGATTAACGGGGCTCCATCGCAACGCTGTAACATACAATCAACGCAAGCCTCGTCGATGCAACGTATCATTAAAGTCACATGTACATATAATCACGTATCATTAAAGTCACATGTACATATAATCAGCAGTGTTAATTGAAATGAAAGCTGTGATTATCTCTATTCTGTGTGAACACAATATAGAACAGGCAATAGCGTCCTCACTAGGTTCTTGTAAAGCACCTGTCAGATTAACGCTGGTATTCGCATAAAGTGGATCCCAGTTAAACTGGACGGTAACCTTGTCGTATGTAATAATAATAATAATAATAATAATAATAATAATAATAATAATAATAATAATAATAGCCTAACCAGCCTGACTGTGCCAGGATCACCCAAACCCTCTTTGCTGCATTTGTTATTTTAATCTGTACATAATAATGATAATAAAAAATTAATAAAATACATAAATAAATAAGAAATAAAAAATAATAATTAATAATAATTAAAGAATTAACGAGTAAAAAGTACAGTGTGCTGTACCGTTGTATGTACAGTATGTAAACAGTGAAACTCCGTTTATCCGGATGCTACTAATCCCGGCACATACGTAATCGTCGGGACTAAGAGGTTTCCGGATTAAGGGGGTTCCAGCTGTCATCGGCCGCAGGGCAGTATATCGGACTAACGGGGTTTATACTGTACAGCTATTTCTCTACACACTAACATATTCATGAACATATTCACACGTGTAAATACAGACAGACAGATAGAACACTCATTAGAATTTATAGATGATTTAATTACACAAGGTAATAATTGATGAATAATTTAGATATAATATTTGTTTAAGAACATTTCGTCAGACTGAATAAAAGATACCAGATAATACATAAACACAATTATTCCCTTTCCCGGATGTAACTAGTCGAAAATAAATAATTCATTCATATAACATAGCTACATATCACCTATATGAACATATTCATACAATTTTAATAGTACTCGTATGTAATCCTACATGTACATGTATCCTTTTCCTTCACACATGCTTGTACATGCCATCAGATGTTCATCAAAGTACACAGTATCCATAGTACGTGCTTATACGACACACTATTACAGTCCGTCTGATTTATAAAACAACCTCAATTCAACACTAATCAAGCACACACAAATATCAATGTTCTACGTTACCTAAATCTGACGTTAGATGAGAAACTCCGTTAAAACCCCTTCCTCAATTCACATAATGTCAGCAGGCCGTTTATTTCGTGAAACATGGACGCCAGTCGGCTATGTTTAGAGGCGTGCGGCAAGGAGCGGCAGTCCTACCCGACTTGTTCTATTTTTATTCCCAAACCTATCCGCCCTTTCTTGTATAGCTCCACGGCAACTCCGCTGTCTTGCTATGAATGTAACCGGGTGGAGAATCAGGTTAGACGAGTTGGTAGAATTCTTCTTCGATTATTCACTTTATGCAACCTCACTACAGAATGTTTTCATTTATTCGTCGTGCATGTCGTAAAACGCAGTAGCGCAGAACGCCCATGAGATAAATATTCGGATGCGTGGGTTTGCTTTTATAACACATTTAAAAGAATATTTTCAAAATTCGAACACGCATAACAACAAAGAAACCCTTTCATTGAGAATTGCCCCTCCCCCAAAACAATAGCCTAGAACAATAAAATGGAAACTAGTGATTAGGAAGACGTTCTTTAGAAAACGGTAAATTGCATTGAATTATATACATACATTTAAAAAGTATTATATTACTGGTTGTATATGATCACAATATGATGCCGGGTGTATACAAATGTAGACTGTTTCCCACGCTTACATTAACAATGATGAACAGGTGATTTCGTTTTCTTATGGGTCATCAAGGGAGAAGTATCCTATTAGGTGGTATTTCATACGTGAATAGCATTTTTTTCCCTTGAGTCACAAGACGCACCTGCATAAATTCCCTACGAAACATCCTTCACGCAGATCACTTAGATTCCAACAAATGTTTTAAGAGCGTATCAGAAATGTCTTTAATCTCTCTCCGACCGAGTGATGAATATTGAGAGTCCCGCAAATGAATATTTATTTTAAAATCTTGAATTATATGAAGCATCCTGCAGCTTTGAGAACAGATAAATTCGCCAGTAAGTGAATTAAGCACTGGATTGGCCGTCCATCACTGGTGATTAATGAGGTGTTGGCGTTTAATTCATTGAAGCGCAGATAAAATACCCCAGTGCGCCCTATTCAAGCATGCCCACAGAAGACCACACCTGTCATAATGGTTTATGCACAAATACAACAAAATTCGATGTCGTTTCCTTTATATCTATCAGATAAGAATTCACCTCAAAACCTAAATGTATTTATTCGGAAGTAATTCGTTTATCAAAACACAAACGTCTAAGATTCCGTGCGTAAGCATTGCTACATGAATGCGTTCACATTTGCAGTACTTAAAGGGCTCCCTTAATCGAAACGTGAAATATTGCCTTTCACAACCACACGTGCTGCTTTAAAGTATACTATTCTTATGTATCACAGACTGACGACAATAGATAGGTCATGTTATCGTAACATCATCTTAATTTCTTTGTAAGGAAATTGAAAACTACCATTTGACGTGTTTTGTGTGACGAATGACCCCTCTGAACCAGACGAAGGGCCGCGGGTACATACTGAAAGGGATGAAAACGAAACTCGGTCGGATTTCAATGAACTATCAGCCTCAGCTCCTCTGTTAATAGATATTGTGAGGCAAAGAATGAAGAAAAAATTTAAAGATGGCGATTCCTCACAGCAGTTGAAATGTTTCATAAAAGGTCAATACAACACTAAACCTTAATTTCTGTAGGGTTGGCACACCACAAAAGGTAATGTCGGTTTATGTGAATGCCTTACATGTTTGTCCCCTTTCTCGAGGGCACCTTTTTCAGTTGCTATTGATTTATATCAGATAAAGGAAGAGGTCATCCAGGCCAAATTAAATAGGACTTACCCTACAGTCATATATATAACCAGATGTTTGTCGATAAGTTACAATTGTATATTATACACCTCGTTTACTCGAAATACAATGCCACAATATGTCATTTAAGACGAGGTATATTTAATGTCCCGTTGTATTAGAGCACTTCGCTTGACTCGAGATACGGATGACACGACTCCCATGATTTCGAGTTAACCATTTCTACTTTATGTAAGAGTCAAATGTAAGGATACGGAAAATAGAAACAACACTATATTTTGTTGCTGTACCAATATATAACGTTTCGCAGTGATGCCTATACGATTCAGTATCTACTTCGTTACCATTCCAACCAAAAGGGTCAACACTGCCTTGCTTCTATGGGGTTAATTTGGTGATGGTAAGTGTAGAGAATACATGTACAGTCAGACACCGTTGTTTCAAAGTTGAATACATCGAGGTATCCGAGATTCGACACAAGAATGACGAAAAGAGAAGGAATACTCAGGGATCATGCTTTTACTTAGAGACAAGCGTAAGTTCGACACAACGGTGTATGACTGTACATGTTAATGCACTGTATCGGATAAGATGTATATGCGAAGATTGGGGAGAAATAGAGAACCTCTCCCTCATGCATTTTGATATCAAATATATTAACAGTCCCCGTGGCTACCGAGGAGTATTAAAACTTTTATCGACGAGTGCTCTTCTTGTCTGATCCCTCCACTTCTCCTCTTCCAAAGTATTCAAGGATCTATCCCACCAATTACATTGCTTTGTGCCCCGTGGAGATCCGATTTCTAATTGGTCCTCAGCAACCCATGATTGTACCCCGTGAAGATCCGGGTTATAATTGATCTTCAGTAACACATGTTGGTCCCCTCTGAAGATCCGAGTTATAATTGATCTTCAGCAACACATGTTTGTCCCATGTGAAGATCCGGGTTATAATTGATCTTCAGCAACACATGATTGTACCCCGTGAAGATCCGAGTTATAATTGATCTTCAGCAACACATGTTTGTCCCATGTGAAGATCTGGGTTATAATTGATCTTCAGCAACACATGTTTGTCCCCCGTGAAGACCCGGGTTATAATTGATCTTCAGTAGCACATGTTTGTCCACTGTCAAGATCCGGGTTATAACTGATCTTCAGCAACACATGATTGTACCCCGTGAAGATCCGAGTTATAATTGATCTTCAGCAACACATGTTTGTCCCCTGTGAAGATCTGGGTTATTATTGATCTTCAGCAACACATGTTTGTCCCCCGTGAAGACCCGGCTTATAATTGATCTTCAGGAACACATGTTTGTCTTAAGAGGCGATTAACGGGATAGGGTAGACTGGCTTGCTGACATGGTCTGTGTCATAGCATCCCAGTTGCGTAGATCAATGCTCATGATGTCACTATAGGCCAAGGCTCGATTTACAGACCACTGTCATACAGCTGAGCTATTGGCTGAGTGCGGCTTAAACAACAAACAAATAAACAAACGAACAGATAAAACTTTTCCTTGTTGTATCTTCAGCATCAGTTTTCTGCTAATTCTCGAGTTGTTTGACGCATTAATTGTGTCACAAATTCCTTCTTTATTTTTTCTGTCTCTTCAGCACTGCGTCAACGAATTTGGTCACTCTCGTTTTATTCTCACTAAGATGTTTGCTGAAAAACAGCTTCATATTGTCTATCGTAGCTATCATGTCAGCATTGCCAGTAGATTGTTCTTTATATATACTGCTAGAGCCTTAGCCGTGTCTGTTACTATTACCAGATGATTGAAATAGTAAACGGAGATTTTTTTTCCGATGAATCGAAAGTGAAAAGGTGAGGGTATCCTGCCTCACCTTTGCATCCGTCTCAAACACATGCAAAGACAAGTCAATTGTTCACCTGAGAGACACATGGGAACATCAAGTATAAATCGAAATAGGGATATCTGTGGACATATTTGTTTTCACAGATGCGTCAAATGTGGAAATGTGTTCCACAAGCCTCCCATAAAACAGCGCCTAGACATAATTACAACGTCCAAGATTGCAAACGGACAGGGTGAAGTATAGTCACCCTTTCATTTTATGCTTCAAGTACAAGAGCACACGTATGGTTCCTAAGATATTACCAGGAATCGATTACTGTCTGAAAAGTTTCTGTGAAGAAGTAAGGATACCCCCATGCATATGATATTATATATACTTTTTCCTCTTGGGTTAGGCGGATGTGTTAACCAGAACACAAATAAATTAACGGCTAGATTACGGTGAGTGATGGAATGTTGTTTTATGCACCAGTCAGCAACACCACGACCCCTTGTAATTAACCGAGTCTGGATCACATAATTCAATTTTTAATATTATCAGCAACGTCCCATGCTGGATGACAAGCGATTAATCAAGTCCCCTGTGTCTGACCACCTGATCCACTGAGTCGCCTCTAACACGTATAGGCTACTAGGGACCTGGAACCCGATCCACATAGCGATCTTAGTGCTAGGTTGGTAGTACATCCCATACTTTATCATAGGCTTACGATTAACGTAGCACTGAGATCGTTTTGTGGAAAGGGCCCTGCTCTAAGTCGAAATCCCAGCGGGGGTATCATGAAAAGAGTCCGGGGGTTTGCTTTACATCTTCACGAATCCAGTTAGTTACAACTGTTACTCCTGTTGGGATGCTGCAAACCAAACCGAACACTCAGCTGTACAGTGGGCATCCAAACATGTGCGAATGAGTGAGTGTGGTTTTACGCCGCTTTTAGCAATATTCCAGCAATACCACGGCAGGGGAGAGCCAGAAATGGGCTTCACACTATGTACCCATGTGGAGAATCGAACCCGGGCATTCGGCGTGACGAGCGAACGCTTGAACCACTAGTCTACCCCACCGCCCCGCATCTGAACATGAACGTCAGGAAAGGGAGACAATGCTCACACCAACATTTCAAGCCGACCTGGTGAGATAACTCACAACTTCACTTCTATAACGGTCGGATTTAGATGAAGGTCTACGTCAAGGACGCGAATACCTGACAAGGGGAGATAACTCACATCTTCACTTCTCTAACGGTCGGATTTAGATGGTCTACGTCAAGGACGCGAATACCTGACAAGGGGAGATAACTCACATCTTCACTTCTCTAACGGTCGGATTTAGATGGTCTACGTCAAGGACGCGAATACCTGACAAGGGGAGATAACTCAGGCTTCACTTCTCTAACGGTCGAATTAAGATGAAGCTCTACGTCACACGAGAATACCCGACAGGGGAGATAACTCACATCTTCACTTCTCTAACACGCGTGGTGCCCACATGGAAG